CGTCACCTGAGACACACACACACACACACACACATCAGCTGTCCAGCTGGTCCAAAATGCAGCAGCTCGAGTTCTTACTAGAATCAGGAAGTATGACCATATTAGCCCGGTTCTGTCAACACTGCATTGGCTCCCTATTAAACATCAAAAACATTTTAAAATATTGTGTTAGGGGTTAAGATGACACGACCACAACACATGATGTAGTCAGCCGGATCCGGCCGTATCCAGACCAGATGGAGGACCTGCGCCTAGACACGACCACAACACATGATGTAGTCAGCCGGATCCGGCCTGTATCCAGATCAGATGGAGGACCTGCGCCTAGACACGACCACAACACATGATGTAGTCAGCCGGATCCAGGCCGTATCCAGATCAGATGGAGGACCTGCGCCTAGACACGACCACAACACATTATGTAGTCAGCCGGATCTGGGCCGTATCCAGATCAGATGAAGGACCTGCGCCTAGACACGCCCACAACTCATGATGTAGTCAGCCGGATCCGAGCCGTATCCAGATCAGATGGAGGACCTGCGCCTAGACACGACCACAACGCATGATGTAGTCAGCCGGATCCGGGCCGTATCCAGATCAGATGGAGGACCTGCGCCTAGACACGACCACAACGCATGATGTAGTCAGCCGGATCCGGGCCGTATCCAGATCAGATGGAGGACCTGCGCCTAGACACGACCACAACACATGATGTAGTCAGCCGGATCCGGGCCGTATCCAGATCAGATGGAGGACCTGCGCCTAGACACGCCCACAACACATGATGTAGTCAGCCGGATCCGGGCCGTATCCAGACCAGATGGAGGACCTGCGCCTAGACACGACCACAACACATGATGTAGTCAGCCGGATCCGGGCCGTATCCAGATCAGATGGAGGACCTGCGCCTAGACACGACCACAACTCATGATGTAGTCAGCCTGATCCGGGCCGTATCCAGATCAGATGGAGGACCTGCGCCTAGACACGACCACAACACATGATGTAGTCAGCCGGATCCAGGCCGTATCCAGATCAGATGGTGGACCTGCGCCTAGACACGACCACAACACATGATGTAGTCAGCCGGATCCAGGCCGTATCCAGATCAGATGAAGGACCTGCGCCTAGACACGACCACAACTCATGATGTAGTCAGCCGGATCCGGCCTGTATCCAGATCAGATGGTGGACCTGTGCCTAGACACGACCACAACGCATGATGTAGTCAGCCGGATCCGGGCCGTATCCAGATCAGATGGTGGACCTGCGCCTAGACACGACCACAACACATGATGTAGTCAGCCGGATCCGGGCCGTATCCAGATCAGATGGTGGACCTGCGCCTAGACACGCCCACAACACATGATGTAGTCAGCCGGATCCGGGCCGTATCCAGACCAGATGGAGGACCTGCGCCTAGACACGCCCACAACACATGATGTAGTCAGCCGGATCCGGGCCGTATCCAGACCAGATGGAGGACCTGCGCCTACACACGCCCACAACACATGATGTAGTCAGCCAGATCCGGGCCGTATCCAGACCAGATGGAGGACCTGCGCCTAGACACGACCACAACGCATGATGTAGTCAGCCGGATCCGGGCCGTATCTAGATCAGATGGAGGACCTGCGCCTAGACACAACCACAACACATGATGTAGTCAGCCGGATCCAGGCCGTATCCAGATCAGATGGAGGACCTGCGCCTTGACACGACCACAACACATGATGTAGTCAGCCGGATCCGGGCCGTATCCAGATCAGATGGAGGACCTGGGCATTGACACGACCACAACACATGATGTACTCAGCCGGATCCGGGCCGTATCCAGATCAGATGGAGGACCTGCGCCTTGACACGACCACAACACATGATGTAGTCAGCCGGATCCAGGCCGTATCCAGATCAGATGGTGGACCTGCGCCTAGACACGACCACAACACATGATGTAGTCAGCCGGATCCGGGCCATATCCAGATCAGATGGAGGACCTGCGCCTAGACACAACCACAACACATGATGTAGTCAGCCGGATCTGGGCCGGATCCAGATCAGATGGAGGACCTGCGCCTAGACACGACCACAACACATGATGTAGTCAGCCGGATCCGGGCCGTATCCAGATCAGATGGAGGACCTGCGCCTAGACACGACCACAACACATGATGTAGTCAGCCGGATCCGGGCCGTATCTAGATCAGATGGAGGACCTGCGCCTAGACACAACCACAACACATGATGTAGTCAGCCGGATCCGGGCCGTATCCAGATCAGATGGAGGACCTGCGCCTAGACACGACCACAACACATGATGTAGTCAGCCGGATCCGGGCCGTATCCAGATCAGATGGAGGACCTGGGCCTTGACACGACCACAACACATGATGTAGTCAGCCGGATCCAGGCCGTATCCAGATCAGATGGTGGACCTGCGCCTAGACACGACCACAACACATGATGTAGTCAGCCGGATCCGGCCGTATCCAGATCAGATGGAGGACCTGCGCCTAGACACAACCACAACACATGATGTAGTCAGCCGGATCTGGGCCGGATCCAGATCAGATGGAGGACCTGAGCCTAGACACGACCACAACACATGATGTAGTCAGCCGGATCCGGGCCGTATCTAGATCAGATGGAGGACCTGCGCCTAGACACGACCACAACACATGATGTAGTCAGCCGGATCCGAGCCGTATCTAGATCAGATGGAGGACCTGTGCCTAGACACAACCACAACACATGATGTAGTCAGCCGGATCCGGGCCGTATCTAGATCAGATGGAGGACCTGCGCCTAGACACGACCACAACACATGATGTAGTCAGCCGGATCCGGGCCGGATCCAGATCAGATGGAGGACCTGCGCCTAGACACGACCACAACACATGATGTAGTCAGCCGGATCCGGGCCGGATCCAGATCAGATGGAGGACCTGCGCCTAGACACAACCACAACACATGATGTAGTCAGCCGGATCTGGGCCGGATCCAGATCAGATGGAGGACCTGCGCCTAGACACGACCACAACACATGATGTAGTCAGCTGGATCCGGGCCGTATCTAGATCAGATGGAGGACCTGCGCCTAGACACGACCACAACACATGATGTAGTCAGCCGGATCCGGGCCGGATCCAGATCAGATGGAGGACCTGCGCCTAGACACGACCACAACACATGATGTAGTCAGCCGGATCCGGGCCGTATCCAGATCAGATGGAGGACCTGCGCCTAGACACGACCACAACACATGATGTAGTCAGCCGGATCCGGGCCGTATCCAGATCAGATGGAGGACCTGGGCCTTGACACGACCACAACACATGATGTAGTCAGCCGGATCCAGGCCGTATCCAGATCAGATGGTGGACCTGCGCCTAGACACGACCACAACACATGATGTAGTCAGCCGGATCCGGGCCGTATCCAGACCAGATGGAGGACCTGCGCCTAGACACGACCACAACACATGATGTAGTCAGCCGGATCCGGGCCGTATCCAGATCAGATGGAGGACCTGCGCCTAGACACGACCACAACACATGATGTAGTCAGCCGGATCCGGGCCGTATCCAGACCAGATGGAGGACCTGCGCCTAGACACGACCACAACACATGATGTAGTCAGCCGGATCCGGGCCGTATCCAGACCAGATGGAGGACCTGCGCCTAGACACGCCCACAACACATGATGTAGTCAGCCGGATCCGGGCCGTATCCAGACCAGATGGAGGACCTGCGCCTAGACACGACCACAACACATGATGTAGTCAGCCGGATCCGGGCCGTATCCAGATCAGATGGAGGACCTGCGCCTAGACACGACCACAACACATGATGTAGTCAGCCGGATCCGGGCAGTATCCAGATCAGATGGTGGACCTGCGCCTAGACACGACCACAACACATGATGTAGTCAGCCGGATCCGGGCCGTATCCAGATCAGATGGAGGACCTGCGCCTAGACACGACCACAACACATGATGTAGTCAGCCGGATCCGGGCCATATCCAGATCAGATGGAGGACCTGCGCCTAGACACGACCACAACACATGATGTAGTCAGCCGGATCCGGGCCGTATCCAAATCAGATGGAGGACCTGCGCCTAGACACGACCACAACGCATGATGTAGTCAGCCGGATCCGGGCCGTATCCAGATCAGATGGAGGACCTGCGCCTAGACACAACCACAACACATGATGTAGTCAGCCGGATCCGGGCCGTATCCAGATCAGATGGTGGACCTGCGCCTAGACACGACCACAACACATGATGTAGTCAGCCGGATCCGGGCCGTATCTAGATCAGATGGAGGACCTGCGCCTAGACACGACCACAACACATGATGTAGTCAGCCGGATCCGGGCCGTATCCAGATCAGATGGAGGACCTGCGCCTAGACACGACCACAACACATGATGTAGTCAGCCGGATCCGGGCCGTATCCAGATCAGATGGAGGACCTGCGCCTAGACACGACCACAACACATGATGTAGTCAGCCGGATCCAGGCCGTATCCAGATCAGATGGTGGACCTGCGCCTAGACACGACCACAACACATGATGTAGTCAGCCGGATCCGGCCGTATCCAGATCAGATGGAGGACCTGCGCCTAGACACAACCACAACACATGATGTAGTCAGCCGGATCTGGGCCGGATCCAGATCAGATGGAGGACCTGAGCCTAGACACGACCACAACACATGATGTAGTCAGCCGGATCTGGGCCGGATCCAGATCAGATGGTGGACCTGCACCTAGACACGACCACAACACATGATGTAGTCAGCCGGATCCGGGCCGTATCCAGACCAGATGGAGGACCTGCGCCTAGACACGACCACAACACATGATGTAGTCAGCCGGATCCGGGCCGTATCCAGATCAGATGGAGGACCTGGGCCTTGACACGACCACAACACATGATGTAGTCAGCCGGATCCGGGCCGTATCTAGATCAGATGGAGGACCTGTGCCTAGACACAACCACAACACATGATGTAGTCAGCCGGATCCGGGCCGTATCTAGATCAGATGGAGGACCTGCGCCTAGACACGACCACAACACATGATGTAGTCAGCCGGATCCGGGCCGTATCTAGATCAGATGGAGGACCTGCGCCTAGACACGACCACAACACATGATGTAGTCAGCCGGATCCGAGCCGTATCTAGATCAGATGGAGGACCTGTGCCTAGACACAACCACAACACATGATGTAGTCAGCCGGATCCGGGCCGTATCTAGATCAGATGGAGGACCTGCGCCTAGACACGACCACAACACATGATGTAGTCAGCCGGATCCGGGCCGGATCCAGATCAGATGGAGGACCTGCGCCTAGACACGACCACAACACATGATGTAGTCAGCCGGATCCGGGCCGTATCCAGATCAGATGGAGGACCTGCGCCTAGACACGACCAGAACACATCCCTGAAGTGTAAGCAGAGATTGTGTCCACTAGACTCTCCCTAAACAAGTCACAGTGACGTCTTCATACCGGCGTGACTCCGATCTTCAGCCAGACGAAACTGGATCATATTCTGGATGTTCTAATCCAATCTGACCTGTAATGCCTGAATCATAATCATAATCATAATCATACACTGCTGGCCAGAGGAGAACTGAGTCTGAGTCTGGTTTCTCACAAGGGTTTTCCTCCACTCCGTCACTGATGGAGTTTCGGTTCCTGTTGCTTATTTGGAGACATTTAATGTAATATTCAGCAATATTATTGATCTCCTGCATTGACAGCATTATATGAGAACTGAACTGAGCTGGACGATGACATCACGGTTTTCTCCAGAGCCGCTATATATATAAATGAACTAAATTAATAACTTTTTTACAGCAGAAATGAAGCATCACTGAACTGACTTAAGCTGGACTGTGACGCTATTCTCTTCTGGAAACAAACTTTCTCTAAAATAAATAAATAAACTTAATATCAAAATTAGGTTGATATCTCAGCAAATGAGCTGTTGTTTGGCTGCAGTACCAAACGCTTCCACTAGAGGACATTAATCTTTCATTCATTTCCAATGCGCTCATTTTGATTGTGTATAATACAAGTGTGACAGATTTCCAGGACCATTGAACCCTTTCATGCACGGCATCCATTAGATATGCAACTCCCTCAGAATAAAATATATTGAAAAAAAGTTTTTGCCATGATTTTCACTTGTTTAAAAGTAAAAAGAAACATATTACTTTGTGATTCAATAATTCGTGCATTATTTTGCATGCGTTATACAGTAAGTCACAGAAGGGTCTGAGCGTGTGTGTTTGATCTGACCCGTGTGTGGAGCCGCTCGGCCTCGTCCTGATACGCCGCTAGCTGCTGCTTCCACTGCTTGACGTTAGCGGTGGACTCGAGCAGCGCGGCCGTTAGCTTAGCGTTGTTCCCCTTCAGAGCCGCTAGCTCCGCCTCCCAGTGTTTGGTGATGGACGTCGAGCTGCAGGAAGATCAACAGGATCAGATTAAGAGCGTCTGATACACGGCATTATTACACGGCTCTGTGGAATGCTTGATTCTGATTGGTCGATCGCTCCATCTAGCGGTTTATTATTCCCAGATAACAACAGAACACAGGCTCATCCGGTCACTGACCACATCAGCGCTACACACTCGCTAGGAACGAGTTTTCTTCGTGGAAGTTTTGCGTTTGGTGAGCTAATAAAATATTAAAACTCAGTTGAATCAATATTTTGTATACAGTTATTTAATTATGCCATCCAGTATCGCGACTCGCTCTCTCTCGTTTCATTCAAACGCAGCGGCGGCCATTTTGTGACTATTGTTTTGTTCACTGTTGGATTATAAGATACAAACATGTACGATTTTAAAACAGTTTAATCTGAAATCAAAATCTCTTATCTCCATAGTTATTAATGTGGTGAAAAGCTGTGTAATAAGTGTTATGACTGTATACCGTATCTCTTAAATGTCCGTCTAGTTTGATCTCGCCGCTGAAACTGCTCTCTCCGCGGAGCGTTGCGTTTAAAGAGCTGATAAATTATTTAGACTCAGATCAATATTTTGTATCTAATTATTCACTGATGTGGCTTGTATACGTGTAAGCGGGATAATGTATCCAGCCGGCTGTTATCTCAGAATAAACCCCTTCAGGTGTGTGAGTGTGATCTCAGAATAAACCCCTTCAGGTGTGTGTGTCTGTGTGTGTGATCTCAGAATAAACCCCTTCAGGTGTGTGTGTCTGTGTGTGTGATCTCAGAATAAACCCCTTCAGGTGTGTGTGTCTGTGTGTGTGATCTCAGAATAAACCCCTTCAGGTGTGTGTGTCTGTGTGTGTGATCTCAGAATAAACCCCTTCAGGTGTGCGTGTGTGTGTGTGATCTCAGAATAAACCCCTTCAGGTGTGTGTGTGTGTGTGATCTCAGAATAAACCCCTTCAGGTGTGTGTGTGTGTGTGTGTGTGTCTGTGTGTGTGATCTCAGAATAAACCCCTTCAGGTGTG